TTTTAATCTATATATATATATATATATATATATATGAAGAAAAATGTTATTTTGATTAAGTTGTTAGATTAGATTATGCTTTTTATAGTTTTTTTTTTCAAAAAGAGAAAAGCTTTACATTACTTTTTTGTACATAAAATGAAAAAGGAAAATGTGTATAATTTTTTTGTTTTCTTTTCAAATTTTCATTATTTAATTTACTGGGTGGCTCTCATGCTTGCAACCTCTGGTCTTAATCAGAGTCTCCCAAATCCTACAATTTCAATTTTCTTTTATAATTTTTTGTAACATTATGATATATTATTTTGTAGGATTGAATAAATTGATTTGTAATTGTGATTGATTTCACATGTTTTAGATTTAACAAATATCAAACAGATTCAAGGCTCATTATTTCTCATTATCTAAAAAAAAATTGGTATTCAGTACAAAATCAAAACAAAACAAAAAACAGAAAACAAAAATTAAAAACAAAAGCTACCAATAGTATGTATACAGCTCTGTCCATGCAATCAAATTTGCTTCATCTAATTTGCTTGATACAATTTGTTAACATTTATTACATTTCTGTTCTGTTACAGCATAAATCTCTGTCCAGGTTACCAAATTTTCTTTGGCAAAACTGTTATGTGCCACACATATACCATGATGTGCCTATATGTCATGATGTGATGTTATAGTGACCATATTTGGGCAAATGATTTTGTCAAATAACATTTACTAGTCTGGACAGGGCTTAAGAAATTATTTGTCAACATTTTCAAAAAAGTAGATACACACCTGTGCAGAAGACAGTATCAGCTAGTGTTGCCAGGGTAATACTGGCTAAGCCAACACCGCCCCCAAGTTCCAGGCAACAACATCCTTTGAAGGTGTTACAGTTATCAAGGATGAAATCACAAAGCAGAAGAGCAGCTTGCCAGACCTGTCAATCAATCAATTAATCAATCAATTAGTTACTCAGTCAATTACCAAAAGTAAATTATTGTGCATTAACCCTTTCAAGTCTGCCCCATTACCATTACCTGAGGCTGTACCAAAGCTTAGAAATTATATCATCTACACTAAATGTTGAGTTTCTACTGGGTGCAGGCATTTTATTTGGTCTGAATACAGGAGGCCCTCTACAGAAATACACCTACTTCACTCTAAAAAATTCTATAGAGGGCAGGCTAGCTATAAAATAATTATCATGAAATCTATACAGGGCGTACGTACGACGCCCTTCGCTATAAGGTATGGTCAAAGAGGGCATCGTCGCGATGCCATACGACTGGAAAGGGTTAATATATTCCTCACCAAAACACAACTATAGTGGTTTTTTTTTATTATTGCATAATTATTAATATTATATATATAATTTTGATGTTAATAATAGGAATACCAGCCAGCACAAGCATACAGTTAGTTCCCAAGTAGCCAAAACAATACACAACATTAGAAGAACTGTTAAAAAGAAGGCTTAATGATTTAACAATGGTTTAACAACCATGAAAGAAATGAAAAAAATAATGTGACTACCATATTTTAATCTTAACTATTGTTTATTATTTAATGTAAAAGATTATACTGTACATTCAGATTTTGAAGTGACTTATTATTAAGTTTAAAATGTAAACTTAAGTCTCACCTGAAGTCCAACATATTTGAGTTCTGTACCTAAAGAATGTTCTGTAAAATATGAAAAAATGGATATTTCAGTTATACCAACCGTGAAATAGTCAGGGAGGATCTAACAGTTAATATGCTCCTACTCAATGCTCAATCTACCATCATGATCGTGTGGTGGGTTTTGGAGGACCCCACCCAGAACCCAAGTTCTTAATCAATGTAATTAAATGGTGGTGTGGGGAATGCTTACAATATATGCACCTTCCCCTAATATCAATGTATGGATCATGGTAAGAAAGAAGACTCGGAATTTACCTATAATAATGCAGTCTTTGCATACTATTTTTTTCCTTTTCACGTCATAATCACCATCTACATCTGTATGGACGTCACTGCCAACATGGTCTCCTTGCACCTCAGCATCAGCAATTATGTACTCAAACCTTGTGACATATCCTACAGAGAAATACATTAAAATTTGAATGAGTTAAAGATATGCTAAAATTAAAAAATACATCATTTAAATTGCTTGGATATTTAAAAAGTAGTCTAAATTAATCATTTTCAATTGAAAATTATAAAATATTTTCCTCATCAATTAAGAGATTAATAATATGTTATATATTTTATATATTTGTTTACATTGGCACTTTTTTCAATTGGCTGGATCAATTTACTGATTATGTAATAAAAATAAATTAAAAATTATTAGTTTGGTAAGTGTTATACCTAAATAGGTGTGAAGAATCTAAACTACAGTAACTATGTACAACAATTGCTGTATATATTGGAGAGGTAGGCAAAGGCCTAATTTTCTGAAAAGTATATGCAGAAATTGCCCATTACTTTCCAAATTGCGCATACGGATTTCTAGGGCTTATTTTTGCACGTTTTGCAGTAATCCCATGCGTAGACCTTAATTTAACAGTCTGGTATTCAAGCAATTACAGTATCTGATTGCATTTTTGAGGTTTTCAGATATTATAACAGATAGCATATTTTTAAAGAAAGAATTTGGATATGTATCCAATCAATTCAATTAAATACAGTAATTAAAAATGTTTAATTTGCGGAAAATGATTTTTACATCAACAATAGACAATTTTGTAATAATAATACATTAGTTATTTTACAAGGTAGGTGTAGGCAGGCAAGGTTTCAATCCTAGGCCTAAGTAAATTTAAAGAACCGCTTGGCTTGGCAGTGTCGTGCACATTTAATTACCGCTCATTATGATTCAGGCACAACTAGGCTCGTGGTACGCACTGGCCCTAAATTCTGAGGAAGGTATAATAGGCCTAGATAACTATTCCTAACTAGGCTTGGCCTAGGTCCTAGTTTAGCTAGGACTCATGAGGCCCTATTTACTAATACTAACTACTACACCACCATTATTAGGACTCGGAGCTGCTAGGCCAGGCCTACTACTAGCCTAGTACTACTACTACAGTAGGTCTAGGCCTAGCTAGTTTATAGATTAGTAAATAACACCGGTATTTACCGCTGAGGGGTTTTATACAGTCCAGTTGCTGATGCTTATGATTAACATGGACATCTGATAATATTACTGCACCAGATGAAGTCATCAGTACTATAAAAAAAATAATAATTCAATAAAAAATGTGCTTGGCGATACATAACACATTCATACATGTGTTCACTCACTCTTCCACTTTAGGTCTCAAAAATGAAAACATAAACAGCGCCGCCAATTGTTGAGCGCGGCGCGCGAAATCGAAACGACGACAGTAGTGTTTTGCTGCAGTGACATCTCGGTGCTGGCGACTCGCTGCTGGCGATGACTCGCTGCTGGCGAATCGATCTGCGCATGTGTTTAAAATGGTACATCTTTCCTAACTGGTGTGAATGAGGAAGAACAGCGTAGAAAATTGTCCGCGGAATTTACAAGGAACACTGACAATTATAAAGTTGATCTGAGTGACGATGATTTGAGTGACCTTCCTGATGTTCAACTCCATCAATACAGCTCAAACAGCTCAACAGGATCTCAGAAACGAAAGTTCAATGAAAGAAATAATGTACCAAAAACAAGTAGTACAACAAGTACAGTAGAGGCTGTTGATCTTACTCAATTTAGTGATCACTCACCACCAAAGTGTGGTAGAGATAACAAGACAACTTTTACAAACTACCAAAACAGTCGCCCCTCATCAAGTTCAGCTGAAAGTGTATGGCAAGGAAACCGAGACAAATTTCAAAATATATTACCAGGAAGTGTTGACCAGACTAATAGGTTACCAAGCAACTCAACAACAACTGTCTCTTATACACATCTAGATGTGTATAAGCCTACACTTTTTGCTACTTATTAATATTAGGCCTCGGTTTGGTAGGCATGAAGTTATATAATTATTTTGAGGGCCTCATTAATTATAAGGGAGCACTTCAGACAGATTAAATTTGTTTAACTACTAGGCCTAGCTATTACTAACTAAACCTAAAATACCTGTCAGTACGATGATGATTTAATTAGACATACTGTATCTGTATATGTACATCTAACTTTTTTTTTTTGCTGCATGGGGTACTGGTACATCAACAGTAAAATGATTTATAATTAGTGAAAAACTAATTTGCGGTTGATGGGTTAGTTTCCTGGAGATATTTGCTTGCTTGGTTGTGCAAGTGTGGGAGGCCTTTCCAAGTTCTGGGAAACTTGGGACCCATGGGATCCTACCAAGTGAATGGCATACACATTTTTGCTGTTTTTTAAACTGCACAAGGAAATCTTTCCGCTGTCTCGAATTGATTGTCTTAGTCTTGTTTTGTTTTCACATGTTGAAAACAATTGTAATTTCAGTCTGTATCGCCAATTCAGTGGCACAAACTTTCATTACTGTAAACTAAACATTATATAATTATTATTCGTATGGAAGTTATTCTCTAACTCTGTCATGATAATAAGAAAAAGAGTGTAAGTTAAACTTTCAGAGTTATAGTTAAGTTTCTGGGAGCTTTCAATGACATCTCGTCATCTTCGTCAGCCGTTTATATAATTATAGTTTTGGTGTAATTTTGCCCTACCTAACTTGGAAATGTACCGAATACTCAGTACATTTGAAAACAACTGCGTAAAAAAATCGCAAGTTGTTCTTGGGTGGGACTCGAGCCCACAATCTCCAGATCACTAGCCTGGCATCATACCTCTAGACCACCGAACCGAACTTGCACCTGGTGGCCAGGGTTGAATTTGAGTCCAAGTAAGCAGCGGGTACTGCAGTGTTGATAGTTATTGTTGTTACTTAGATGCAACGGATTGTTAATAACATTTGTTCTATTATGATTAAACTAGTTGGCATTGATATACGTAGACAATTCTTTTTTTTCTTATCTTGTATTTTAGTTCCTAACTGGTGTGAATGAGGAAGAACAGCGTAGAAAATTGTCCGCGGAATTTACAAGGAACACTGACAATTATAAAGTTGATCTGAGTGACGATGATTTGAGTGACCTTCCTGATGTTCAAATCCATCAATACAGCTCAAACAGCTCAACAGGATCTCAGAAACGAAAGTTCAATGAAAGAAATAATGTACCAAAAACAAGTAGTACAACAAGTACAGTAGAGGCTGTTGATCTTACTCAATTTAGTGATCACTCACCACCAAAGTGTGGTAGAGATAACAAGACAACTTTTACAAACTACCAAAACAGTCGCCCCTCATCAAGTTCAGCTGAAAGTGTATGGCAAGGAAACCGAGACAAATTTCAAAATATATTACCAGGAAGTGTTGACCAGACTAATAGGTTACCAAGCAACTCAACAACAATAAGTCAGCTACCAACAATGGACACAATAATAAATATTGATGCAGAGAATTTAGACCATAGAGGGAGCCCTATATCACTGTCAAGCAGTGATGATGATGATGAGTATTATAACACAGTCTCACTTTTGAAGAGGATAACAGGGAGAGGAGAAAGTTTAAAGGTCATTAATAATAACAATCAAGCTAAAACTGATTATACTGATGATGAGTTAAGTATAGAATCCATCACAAACAAATATTCCATCAAACCAGGCCGTAATTTCCAATCTTCAGAACGTAGCATTTACAGAAGTGAAGATGAGTTAAAGACATCTGATTCACAGGAAACTTTGGCAAGTGTATCAAGCACAATGTCGTCGGTATCTTGTGACTCAAATGCCTCATCCACAACACGGAAGGTCAGAACACCAGAAGAAATTGCTGAACATAGAAGATTAGCTTTAGTAAGTTCTGTTCCAGTTGTTTTTTAGGGAAGGGCTTGCATTTGTACGTATGTAACATAGTTGTAATAAATGGTGTGTTGGTTAACCAATTTTTGCATAATTTGTTTCAGGACCGGAAAGCCCAAAAAGAGAAGGATAGGCTGACCAAAAAGACAGAGAAAGCAAAAGAACTTGCTAAGAGAAAGGTAAAACTAGCCAAATTGATGCCTTTTAATGTTGGCAGTGTAATTGTAGTAAAAATAAACAATTATCCTGTTGTAATTGCCAGCAAACAGTGAAAATATTATCCTAGGAATTCTGTAGATAATCAACTTTATTTAATCAACCACACACTTTTCTACTTGTTTTTTAGGCACTACAGGAACTTAAGAAATCAAGCCGTCCTGAGGAATGTATGAAGGTATAAGTCTACACAGAATTATTAGAATTATTTAACTTTTAGAAGAGATATATTAATATGCAATTACTGCAATACATAGTAAACAATTATATGCACAAGGTGTATAGTGGGATTCATACAAATATTTTAAATGCCACAGTGGCAATAGAGAATAGTAGTGGTAATAGAGAATAGGTGTGGCCCACACCTATTCTCTATTACAGTGAAAATGACTATATCTTTGTTTTGTTTCTGATATTTAATTTACCTAGGCCTATTCAAGATTTCTTTTGTATATCCTTTTAATGTTTCGATTAGTACATAACTGCAGTGATAGACCTAGTGTTGGTGGAAGCCAGTGGAGGTGGGGAGGTGCTGGCTAAATTACAGGGCATGGAATGTAAGACAGACTTAAGCGCACAACCAATACCAAACAGTATCTCCTGGAAGAGAGACACCATTGAGCATCACATTGGAGATGACTTACAGGTAAAACCTCAGATTTCAAGTAAGAGGTGTTAAAAGAAAACAAAGCAGAAACCCAAAAATATTACCATTAGACCTTTGACTACCTGTGGTGGTGCCAGGATGTCCTGCAGGAGCTACCCAGAACCCCACCTAGAGGAGTCCATGTGAAAAGCCCACAGAAAATGACAATTTTTCAAAGGCCTTTAATTGATTTTGGAGTCCCACATTCTGTTAAAAGTAGCAGAATCTTTTTCCCTCCCTGAGAAATTGTGTTTTTCCTCCCCAACAAGGACCCTAGGCCCCCCATCCATTGGTGCCACCACGGTGGTTGTATAAATTCCCAAGAGAAAAGAATACAAGGCAGCCAAAAGCAACCGACTCAACTGTACTCAACAAGATCTAAAAGTATCAGCTCCATTCAAGTATCCTTCATATACAACTAACCACATATTTTGTCTTCTCTCTTAGTTGCGGAGCAGCACGAGACAGACAGATGAAGAAGACATTCTTATAGTAATACCAACCAGTGAATTTGTCGAAATGACCAGTAATTATAGGAAGGTTTGTCAGATTGGTTAATAAAAAACAAAAATGTTATAAGAAAGTTAGAAAACGATATTCATAATTGAATCCAAAGATATTTCTCTACAACAGTACTCACATGCCATTGCAAAGGATGGCAGTCAGGAAAAGGTTGTTGACATCCAATGAATGTGCCTCATGGTTGGTCATGTATTAACCTTTCTTGACAAGTTTGAACTTCATTCATTCTGATTTTATCAGAAGCGTCACTGTAGCGACAATGTTGAAATTTTTTCCGAAAAACCAGGCTTTTACATGAAGGGTTGCTAATGATGTTAATAATGATAATAATTATAAAAAATATCTGACTGGTTATTCACATCCCTTAATACATTTTTTTTTTTTTAAATCTCACTCCATATACCTGTATACATTTATTTTAATCTTTATTTCTTAAGGAGCAATGTAATGGTTATTGTGAAGGAGATCACCTGAGGAAATTTGCTCAAAAAGCCAAGACTGCTTTTCATGGGAAAACCATAACAATGGTGACTATTGCTATGGAAAAGTACTTCAGGTTTGAAAAATTGTTCTTTTGAACATATAATAATTCTTTATTCATCATTCAAATTGGAAATTTGGGATGGGTCACTGGGGATGTTTTAAAATACTGTTCTGGTTGTTAGTATTGCTCGGGCATTCAATATTTTTATGGTCTAGAAAAACAGTATAAAATACTTATGGTTAATATTCTCAATGAGAGGTTAGCAACACATTTTGAAAATCTACTGAAACTTTGTGATAGCATAAACTTGCTGATTATAAATAAAAGCTACTCTTTGATAATGTAGGCATCAAAAGACATTACAGAACCGTAACTTCCGTGCTGCTTGCCTCGGAGAAGATGCATCCACGCAGCAGACGAAGAGGAAAAAGAACAAGAAGATTGAAGATATTACGTGTGTGACAAGGTTGGATGTAGAGGAGGTACTAATTAAAAGTCACTGATAAGAACTATGCTAGGCCTGTGATTAAATTAGTTAATAGTAGTATGGTTAGGGTTTACTCTGGTTTAATTAATCCCTTGTCGTTTTCCTGAGGACTTGAGTACTAAGTACTTGTTGCTTGTTGACCATAACTCTTGTAATGCTGTACAATGATGCCACAGGTTACCTTTATACAATAAGAATATATTTTTCAAAATTTTATTTAAATCACATTATTCCACAGTAAATTGTGTAAATATGCAATTATTATTACTTATTTAATTATTATAATTACACATGTCTGTGTTCACAGGCCTTAGTTGATCTGCAGTTGCAGGAAGGTTGTGTGCTAAAGCTGATAGAAACACCAGCAGAACTTGGGGATCTAGTTGCCATGTACACCAAAGCAGTTGCTGAGACACCATTCAAGTAAGCTAACATAAAACACAGTTTTACTATTGCCATTTTAATTAAAATTGATTAATGATTATTAGAAATAGAATTAACCTACAAGCTATCACATCTATGGACATTTTACACATTGTAATTGTGATTTCTTTTCCATTTATTAAAGATATTCTGTCTACATTGGGCTAATAAACTTAATAAAATATGATATTTGAAATAGTTTGTGAATATGCAAGTTAGTTTTTAGATTAAATTTTTTTAAAGAACAATAACTATATCAATACAAAACAGCATAAAATATATAAGTACATTAAAAAAAAATAAAGGAAGATAATAAGAATAACACCACAATAACATTTGGTCTTTCCCGGGCCACACCCTGTGAGAGACCAAAAAGCCAAAGCTAATAGTGAACTGAAACTTCTTTTACAGACGAGATCGTGATAAAGCGACCTTTTCTTTTCACGTCGATACTGAATGGGCCGGTGGTGTCAAAATTGGAAAAGACGGTAAAGGATTGCTACGATTGTGGCGACAACAGATACAGCAGTTTCGTAATGTCAGTCCCGAGATTGCGCAAGCAGTTGTTGCTGAATATCCATCACCACAACTCCTGCTTAAGGTAAGAATCAAATCTGATTTGCCTTCAGGTTACACAAGCACAAAAAAGGTGCTATGTTTGTTGCATCATGAATTAAATGTTCACTTTTATTAAAATAGGCCTACAGCCGATGCTCAAGTCCAAAGGAAGCAGAGAAATTACTAGAGGACATAATGGTAAGAATTTTAATGTTGTACTTGATCAAATAGCATTGGGCATCAGAATTATTAAGTTGGTAGAACCCATATAGCACATATTTCTACTATATTATCTCATACATGTTTTTGGTGTTAAACAGCTTAATGCTTCATTGATATTTTATCATTTTATTATCCGCAGGTAAGACGTGGCACTGGCGTACTGTCCCGAAGCAGACGTGTTGGGAAAGAGCTATCGCGTCGCATCTACATCCAAATGACTAGTAGAGATAGTGAGCAACTCCTACACTGATAGTTTTTTTAAGTGATGCTGTGCCATGAGCAGTTTGAGGAATTTATCCCTCAAAATTGTCAAAACCCAGAGAAATAGTCCATGACTTTTTGTGAAAGAAAACATTTGTAATAATAATCTAAGAGCCATTATTCTTGCTTATTATGAAATCTAAAAAAAAACATGGTGTTGGGGTCACTTCCTTTTAAGAGGGTACCTTTTCTATTTTTTGAATGATCATTTAAGAATGAATTAAACAGTATGTATCTTTTGGAATACAGTAATGCATGTGTTATTTTTTTGAGTGAATTCCAAAGTATTGATGGTGCAAACCAATCTACGGTGAAGTGGTTCTGCAGGGAAAAAAAAACCAAAAATCATCTGATCTGAGAGCGCATCCTTTAACATATATACTGTATGTGTTAAGCATGGTTTCCATACAATCGATACACAGTCGCTACAGTGTTTTCACTACAATCATTCCACTGCAGAGCAGTCCCTAACGCAATTGGGCACGCTCTTTCATTCAACTGACCAATCAGAGTCACCAAAGTAGTCGGCGATAGCCTGTAGCGATTTTATGGCAACCAGACTTTAGGTGGTTTAAAAGCGCATTCCGAGTAGCAAGATCTTGAACTTAATATGTGAATCAATGGGAGGTAGTAGTGAAGCTCTCCAAGAACATTGGCAGCAACTATTATATTAATTGTCATAACTGATTAGAGACAGCGGCGTAGCTAGGTGCGAAAGGGCCCCAGTGCAAGATTAAATGCTGGGCCCTTTGATGTGATAGGGGAATTCCCTAGTTCTCAGGAAATTCATCTTAAGAAGTGCTTTTTTAACCCCCTACTTAAAGGCCTAGGTTATATATAAATACAGTACTATTGATAATCAGATTCGTAACTATTTTAAGAGGGGCATATTCGGTCTCGGCAGCTGTTCTAAACTATTTTTTTTTAAATGGGTGGCACATAAAATTAAACAATTGCCGTGGCGGATCAGGGAATTCGAATAGAGGAGTCAGGGAGGAATTTTCACAGGTAGAGAAGGAAGATCACCTCATCCCCACCATGGTTGGGACTGAGGTAAGAAAATTCATGATTACAGCACCTCTAGATGGCCAGAAATAATATAATAAATTTCATTTTTTATAATTTTGAAAAAAATTGGGGGTCGGGTAGGCTGGGGCCCCAGCCTTGAATACACCATTGAACTCGGTATTCAATAATTACTCCTCTAAAAACTAAATATTATTGAGTGTCCCGCTCCCGTTTTTTCTTCGAAATTAAGTTGGAAAATATTCTAAATATTATTTTTAGGTCTATTTATGAATGGGCCCCTAATAGCGCTGGGCCCCAGTGCTTTACACTGGCTGCACTGCCCGTAGCTATGCCACTGATTAGAGGTGGATAGATGGTGGATTGAATTATGAGTTTGATTAAAGATGCACTGTCTGTCATGAGCTAAAAAAAATTGATATTTTAATATTGCTTAATTTGTATATTTAAGAAAGTTAAATAAAAAATGGTAATGAGAAAAAATTATGCCGTCAGTTACTGGTACCGAATATTTATTTATACCTTTCCAATATTCTTTTGCACAGCTGGTAATCAATTTAAGCATTTTTACAGTAAAATGTCTGTAAACTGGCAAAAATATTTATTATAAATGTGTCTGGATGGAATTTCTTTTAAAAGAGCTGTTCCAAAGCTTGACTGAATTTTTACGGATTTTCCTAATATTTATTGGCAGACAATGCAGTCACAATTGTGGCTTGCTCACTTTAGTTTTCTGAAAGCACTAGATGTGAATTTCACTACTAGATTCATCACTATGGATAGAGCATATAACGAAGGTTACTCTATGACCCAATGAAGATCAAAACATTGAATCATGGCTTCCCTCTCTTTATTCAGAGTAACATTCGTTCTATGTTATTTAAACATAAACAGTGCATAGAGCAAAAGATCTTCAATATTTACTGGGCATTAAGTGATAAATCCAGGCTCCTACATGTAAATTATTACAGTACAAGAAGTCATTTCAAATTGAACCAAACAACAAAAGTTATATTTTAGATTTTTTTGTACAATTATGTTTATTTAATAGTTGTACTGTACAATCATTCATACATCATATCTATCACCACTCACATAAATAAGACTTTATTTATACACTTCAGTACATTAATGTATACTAAACGTACGTCTTATTAGAGTCAATTGAATACTTGCATCAACACTTAATCCACATTGCACAATTTTAGTAACATGTCTTTAAAATTCATCTTCATCCATTCTACTGGACACTGCCACCCCCTCTCAACTTAAAAAACCTTTTCACTATTTAGCTAATAATGCCTAACTTACGAAAATCACCCGAAATGAAGGGAGACATTCTTTGCTGGGGATATCCCAACCATTAACCAATCTTCCTATTCCAGATGAGGACATCATACGATTATTACCTCAAGATGAGAACATTCAAGGCCCCACCCCTCATGTACCTATAAGCTGTTAACTGACTGTCTATATATGTATTTTATCCATAGAGTTATCTGTAATAATACTAGTGCTGACTAGACGTGTGGTCAGTGAGCATTTATGTATTCACCTCCAAAATTACTGCGAAGTAGCACCACCACTCAAACATTATTGTGCATAATTAAAAATTTCATAACACCTCATAAAAATGCTTGCATGCTATAATTGCACAATTAGTATACAGCTTTTATCTGTAGTGTCACACAATACTGTCTTAAACTCTATGGACAAATTACATATGTTGTGTATATCTGCAACTACATTATCAATTTCAATGTGACCCATACTGCTGATTTACCCATAAATGGGTGTGATTTGCCCATATATAGCCAAATCATAGATTTGACAGCGCATAAAAGGCAGCCCTGCAACATTAAGATCTCATTGCTGTGTGTAGAGTATACAATTAATCTAAAGTCAATAAAAGGCGCATACACTTTAATGTACTAATTACTGTGCTGGGAACAAAATCTCATCAACTCTAGCAGTCTATCAATGATTATAAATTCATTATTGAATACATTCAAAATAAGTTAAAGTTTACTTTTTGTACACTATTGAAAACCATCAATTTATGATTTTAAAATCCATGATAAAAAATTACTCACTTATTTTCAAAATATTTACATAAAAATAGTATAAATGAGTAAGAAGGAAATATTCCCTACCCAAATAGGTCCAAACCTAGACCCCACCCATCCATCTGTGTTGCAATCCACTTAGCATAACTACATGGGGTTTTGGTGCACATCCCCCAATGGAAATTTGCTGAACAAAAACAATATGCTAAGCATCATGAGTCATATTTTATTTTAACAGCTAACAACTACTCTCTTAGTCATCAAGGCCCTACCTAAACTTTGTTCCTACCAACCCCCCTTGAGTGAATCAGGTATAAGTTCAAAGAGCATTACAGAATTTATTCTATCCTGTAGCTGAGTAACTCAGTGTTACATGATATGGTATAAAAAAATATTTGTATTATCTATTATTAATTAGCTATAGCACAAAATGTACACGTATACCACATTACCAAGACAATGAAACAAAAATCAAAGATCTTGGTCACACTCTTTAGCTAAAATGATGTGTTTATAATATCTCCACCATAAGTGATTTGTCTATTACATTAGTTTTACCTCACCTAATATTCCATACATTTATATTAATGTATCGTAATATAACAATGCCTATAATTGAACCTAAAATATAAGTTAGCACTACTACAGATAGTATAGAAAATTAATTGCTGGAAAAAAAGGAGAAAAGGGAAGAAACACCGATACAAGTTGTGGGTATACTCTAATTAGTACACCCATAAATAAGCATACCTTATTTAACACTCAATAGGGTACATGTCCTAATAAAATAGGGTTTAGTGACATAGGATTCAACAAATACAGTACTGTGATAATATTCACATAGAAAAATGTCAGAGTTCAAAACAGTTGATGATATAATATAAATGCTAATAACTGGAAAAATATACAATCAGTGATTAATGTGAACTGTTGTGATTGCATTACTGTACCACCTAAAGCTTTGTCTACACTATCATATTGTTTTTGACAAACAAAACTGTTGCATGACCATATATAGTCAAGATGTGCCTATATATGGTCATGATGTGATGTCATCATGACCATATGTTATATGTTTTTGTCAAATAAAATAATCTGGACAGGGCTTAAACTTCTCAAAATGAAAATGGACTCGCACTTTTTTTTCCCCCGGCCATCTAAGAACAGTGAGGCAACATAAGTAGTGCTCTGGACAACTGTTGTGTACACATAAATTCTTACTTATGTGTGGTGTGAAGCCCGAGTCTAATACACATTCATGTGTATGCTGATAAACATCTTGTTTGGTCTATACTTTGACCCTGATAAGAAACAAATCACAGCAAATATTTTGAGGATCTGCATGAATACAACATCAAATATTTTCGCTGCTGATGTAAACCACTTCAAAAAAAGGTTAAATTCATCAATAAATACCAGAGACAATGAATTCAAACTGCAGCACAATGAGATGGTCTGGATTGCAAAAAGAGCAACGCTTAGACAAATTGCCCTTTGTTTCTTATTTATGTAAAAATTGAATTTGGCGACTACAGCTGATTTCCTTGCAGCATATTCAATACTGAATTGTTTATTACATCTAGATTGTCATCACTTATTCTCACCCCTTCTCATTTGATTATAATGCACCATATTTATGCCTTCCCCACCCCCAGAATTATTCCTTATAGGTCTACCAGGTAAAAATTGTTACTCTTGGGTGAAGAGACAAATAAAGTGCCTTGCCCCAGCAAACAAGCAATGTGAATTGTCTCAGATTTGGACCAGGATTCACAATACTTCTATTGGAACCCATGTGCCATACCACTGTTCCACAGAATTTCAAAAAATTCAATGAAAAATTAATGTAACATTTACATGGATAATTAAAATTGTTATCAATTAAAATTGTTTTTAAAAGCAAGGAAGAATAAAATCAAAGAAAAAAAAGTTAAATGAATCCTTGGATAATATATAGCTTATATTATCCATTATAGATAATATATATGCATTTTGGTCATGTGGCATCAAACTTTATTTTAAAAGCTGGCCAAATTCTGTGCCGTGATGATATCTGAAAAGACAATAATGATTCAATGCCAATTTTAACGTTATTTTACAATGATTTCTCCTTTCGTCGTCAAAAGCAACACATATGAGATGTAGGATTTCATTGTTATTTACATGCGAAGCAACGCAACTCATTTTTATACTTCATCGCTTGTGTCATCTTGTCCAGCTGAAAATAATTTCCCTGTGATTGTCAATAAGGTTTGCGTTGCTTTATTGTGACATGGTATGTTGGCAGTCAGATCAACTTGAGAACCTAGCAACCATCCCAAACGATCATTCAAATAATTTTTCAAGCCTGGTGGAAAAGCAAGCGCCTTCAGTACATTTTGCTCCTGTGGTATGTGTCTGCGTAAAACTGTACAGCACATAAACTGAAGACTGGACGGATAGGAGATTGAGCGTACTAATCGCATGCTTGAGCGAGCAGCAGTTGAGCACACCATTGGGTACCAAGACTTCCCAATTAATCCAGATTTTGCAACTCCTTTAAAAAAAAAACAAAGAAATACATATGTAAATATGACTGAATTGCATATTGTTAATTTAACATTGAAATCATGCATCTTCTTTTATTTTTAAATATGACCATATACAATATTTACTCTCATAAAAGTATAAAGGCCTATTTACGCAGGGGAAAAAATAAAACCTAACTCGTGTGGTAATTCACAAATAACACTACACAGCAACCTTTTGCTTCGTATCAGTTTCTATTTCCAAAAGCTGTCAAATGACAGAAACAATTCGTACCAATTAGTGATTGAGCATTGCATGATTGTTGTCTGGTGCTGTGTACATACAGTAATGCACTACCTGTAAATGCCAGTCAACATGTACAGTAAGTACTCAAGCTTGTATGTTTTTAAACTTTTTAAATTGATGACAATATCTACTTACCTAAACGCTGGCCATTTTTATAAAAGCTTAGGGTGCCCTGCCACATGTCGAGATGGACGCCAATTATGTCCTTCTGGCCAAACTTTGCACAAAACATGTTAGTCGAACCAGCAAAATGGAAGGCACCGGTGTAAGATAACCCACAACTTTCACCGTTGTTATCATTGCCAAGAAGGCTACAGAACGTCTGTGCATAGTGACTGAAATCTATTTCTTTAGTTCCAATACCAACCATCTAAGATAAAAAAAAAAAACCACAATGACAAAAATAATTAGAAAACCAAGTATCACATAATGAAATATGTTCATGGGCAATGCATATAGTTTGTGGTACATTAAATCAATTTAACTCAAATCAGGGGTTTAGCCAGAAAAAATGGAAGCCAGTAGACATGGCCCTGAGCCGATGGGTGGGTTACGCCAACTTGGGGCCACGTCCGCCCCCTTCCAAACATACGAAAAAAAAAAGAAAATTATGATCTTTAGAGGGCATTTAAAGGTGTTTAAATGTTGGAATTTTGTCTTCAAAGGAATAAGTGTTAAATTAGCTATCACAAAGATATTTCAGTTTATAGACATAGATTGTGCACAGCTGCATTTACTCGCATAATGTTTCGAGGCTATGCAGATGCATCTTCATTTAGTCTAGTGTAAATTCTACTCTAGGTCCTCCGAATTGAGAGATAGGCCTACTGTATTTTGTTGACTAATAAAATTTAACTTGTGACATTAACTCTTCTTTACGGTATTTCATGAATTAATTATAGCCAGAGTTACGAACACCAACAATATTATGTCGGAGAACCGAATCTCAAGTATTGTATTTGCAGAGCCACAGAGCGTAGTGGGCGACTCAGAACCGTCCATTTTCCAGGAGGGTATAAATGTTTTTCACCCTAACATGCTAAAGTTATCATGATGAATAGATCATGATAAGTTTATCACAATGACTTATATGAACAAGCCTTTTGATTAGGAAAACAATAAGAGTAAACAATTCTAATAAAATCTGGCAAACAATTAACATTATACTAAGGTCAAGGTCAAGGCAAGTTGATACAAATAGTGTCCTCAATAGTTTAACTTTATAGTACTAGGAAGGTGAATTTACTTCTCATGTTATATTTTTTTTAAACTATTTTACTAATTTAAGAAACTTTAAAAAGCAGGCAGATTAGTAAGTGTAAAAAGCAGAATTTGCTAAAGAAATTACTGAAAATGGTCTTCAATCAACTTATCAACTCATAAATCATAACAGTGTTACGAACATGTCCAACAAACACATGTGTTGTCCCACAAATGGACATGTTTATGTACATTTACACTATTGTTTTATGGGACCTTAGCAAGTGCAAAGGTCCAATGACAATTCAGGGACCAAATAAGATTTTGTAGATCATGAAAATAATATTTGTCTTTGTGCTGAATGAAACTGTTACAAATGTTTTCTAATTTAGTGTAATGAATACTGCACTTAAGTATGCACAAATGTGACAGTTAAATAGGCTTCATCAGCTCAAATTGAAGCTTAATTGTCTGATGAAGTAAGAGCATTTGGTCACCAGGGCCCATATTCTTGAAAGCGGAGTTAACTTTAGTCCTGGACTAAATCTGGATTTAAACCAGGACTATCTGAAAGTGGTATTCTCGAAAGTGGACTAAATTTAGTCTAGGTTTAGGCCTGGACTAAATCGGCCGAATTTTAGTCCGCTGTGACCCCTGGTTTAACAGTGGAGTAACAAAGATGGCTACTGCAAGTGCAATGAATTTTGTGCTTCACTTCATACACGAACATTTTAAAATAAATAGCTAAATTTCTTTTAAATTATAATAATAAGCGTAATCAAAATATTGCATTATATTTTATGATAATGAATTTAAATATTTTTGGTGAAAATAATATTAGAAAGGTTAGAATATACTGTAATAGGCCCTTATAATTATACTTTATTATATTTATTATATATTAAAATAATAAAATGATATATAAATATTGTATAAATTATAATGAATTTATTTATTTTAGTTAAAAATAATTAATATTATAAAAAGTTCTTATAGTACTTAAACTCAAACTCAAAACTAACATTTATTTCCTTCATTGGCATGTGTTACAATATACAATATGAAACAATAGGTCTATATAATTATACTTTAATTTAATATTTATTCTATATTATAATGAATTTGAATAATAATTATGCTATGCTAATATATAATAAAAATAATGTTATAAATAAACTGTAGTATGTGCTATTTTTCATTTAAGGCTTAATTGGTATGTAAGAAAATAGAAGAAAGGACAACAAGAGCCAAATGAACGATCATTAAATAAATGATAGGCCTACCAACTACCGTTCAATCAAATGAAGAACAAAGGTTTTAAATATTCTGATTTACTGTATGATATGTAACATTATATTTTAGCTGAATATACCATTACTATGGATGTTACTGAAATAATTATATAATAAAATTTGAATATAAATTATGTTCCACTTCTCATTTCATTTCTGTTTTTAGTGGTTTTCCTTATTCAATACTCATATAATTATTGTACACTGAAAAATGTAAACATATAAGCTGAATGCATTCTAGGCTACACATGTCATCGACAAGGATTCAGCTGTTGAAGTACCATGTACCTTCTAATTTTAGGGAAATATATTGATTTTTCAAAACAATTTTAAAGTTGTCAGAATTAATTATTCACCTAAAAACAAATTTACTGTGCAAGTGTGTAGGACACAATTCTGATACTACAATCAAAACACTATAAATAAGATAAAACATAATTTGGCTGTGTATATCCCTATTTGCCTGAGAAACAGTTCAAACAGATGTACTGAGCATGAGCAGTAATATTTATAAGGCATTGCCATAGAGAATATTCATTTGACCTCGCATATTCCATGATTTACATATTGGTCCAGGGTCTAGCTCTGGACTACTTAAGCCCCTCTCCCACCAGGGTTTTTTCAGCATATGAGTTACAAGAGAATGCCGAGTTGCTAACTCGGCAAACTCTGCAAAAACTTGTAGGACGATTCGGAAAGCTCGGAGAGGACTCTTACCTACTCGTAGCAGCTCTGAACTCGTGGCGCTAATTTTGAACATGTTCAAAATTATCGCCATGAGTAGATAACTCGTAGTAAACTCGAAGAACTCTTAGGTAGCTCGTAGAGTATTTGGGGTACTCTTACATAGCTCGTACACTACTCTGGATACTCGTCTGCGGTTTTGTCATCTACGAGTTTGATGCGAGCACCCAAAAACGAGTACGAGTAAGTACGAGCGCCCACCGAGTTGGCTCGTACCTAACTCATATCTAATTCGGTACAAACGCTCGTAATAATCTCATAGTTAACTCGGTGCTCTGCTCGGCATAATTCGTACATAACTCGTAACCAACTCCATAAAGTCGTACCTCACTCGTAGCTATCACGTAATAAGCTCGTATAAGGTCCTTTCCAAAGATCACGAGTTTTAACTCGTAGAAATCGTACGACTCTTAGGTGAAATAAACCTAGGTGGGAGAGGGGCTTTAGTCTAGGTTTCGAGAATAACCAGGACTAACTCTAGCCTAGGACTACTGTAACTAGTACAGGACTTCAGATAATCCTGGACTACAGTAACAAGTCCACTTTCGAGAATACGAGCCCAAGAAAGAAGGCCTTCTTCACACTCGTACTCATTCAATTCAAATCTTTATTCATCCTACTTCGGGCAAATTTTAAAAACAAAACTAATAATATATTGATATAGTAACATATAATAATATTGATCCATGTTCAAAGATAGCCTAAACATTGTAGGGCCGCAATTTGCCCAACTGTGTTTTAACCCCTGACCACCTCAAACAGACTCACATTTAATTGGTTAATAAGATTTGGGTTACAGCAAATGTGAAGGCTCATTTAAATTGGGAATGGGTATCTGGGTAAAAATTTGTAATTTAAAATAATTTGAAGAGTTACATATAAAACCATAGTTATTTATGCATCTCAATCAATAGAAAACTATTTTGACACTTGACACAGAATGCCAAGGCCTTAAGGCCGACAAAGTCCGAGATTAAAAGAACAATAAGTATGAACTCAAAGTAAATAAAGGTCATGGATACAAGTGAAAGAAAGTTGTGACAATATTCAAGTTGCAGGCCCAGCTGTGATACTGTAGTTTAACCTTACTAAAGTAACAAAGTCTGTGTTCGGACGTAAACTCAAATACATGTGTAATCTAATAATAGCCTTGAGGCTAATTTCGACGGCCGTTCTGACGAGTACTATAAAACCGGTAAAACCAGTAACTTCTCGTATGTCTTTCCTTCAACCAAGGTTAGACACAAGTTTTTTTAGCAATATTTTTGTTGGTACTGTTTAAAACTATACATAATCTAGCTTTTGTAACTTCATTTGGAGCTTCAAGTGATTTCTTCACCATGATAACAAAACTTTATTACATTCGGCACATTAGTTAGTGAGTTAATGAGTTAAAATACTAGAAATGACCAATAAGTTTTCATAGGAATACAGTAGCAATTTAGCTCCGCTTCTAAATTTTCGCACCCCCAATTCTACATTCCCAATTTCCACACCCCCATCCCAAGGATTAAACCAGCCTATGCCTCTGCTTTCTATTTTACAGATTTCAAACATAACAGAACCAAATGTTTCCATGGATATTAGATTGTAAAAATGGTATTTTTTTTTTTTTTTTTTTTTTTTTGGTAAATGTGAAATTTACTAGTGCAATTAATGTGATTTATAATGTATTCACATTATGCCTCCTGTACTGCTGTGTATGTAAATATTATGCATTATAACTTTTTGGTTTTACAATTAAGTTTTATTTTTTTAATTTTGTTTTGTATTAAGGTATTTTGGATGCACCATAAAACTTGTTTTATGTGTGCCACTGTTGTAAAAGTGAAGTCCATCAAAATTGAAATTGAATTGAAAAACTTCTTACTTTTATCTATAGCTACATACTGTACTGTCTTTTTTTACTTTTATTTTTTATCGACAAAACATACAATTACTGTATTTCTTTTAGTTTTATGGACGTTTTTACCTCATCATTTTTTCAAAACATTTTAAACCCTTTTTATTTGTTAACTTGTCATATACTTGTTTGTTTTTTGTTAACTGAAATAAACAAATTACTAGTGAAAAGTAAGTAATGTAACTCTAATCAACAGAATTGGAAACTACAATTTGACACCAAAAATAATGTTCATGGTCCATAATGACTACAATACAACCAAAGCCAACGACTGGTGACTTTGTTTTACACAGAAAATTGGTTCCATACTGACGGTCCTTCTACAGTACAGGGTAACATGATGAGTAAATGTTTCGTCGATTCATTTTTCCTGTTGTACAAATGATAGACTATGTATGTGCTAACAATGATATCAGTATCACTGATATTTGCACATTTTTTCGGCCATGGATATCACTATGCACCTCAAAATAATATTAGAAGAGACCTCACTTGAAGGCCTCCAGGAAGTAACTTCTGCCAACTTGGAAACACTGGTCCTGTCATTGTTTAAAAGTAAAATCTTATGATTGACTGACAGTATCAAGTATAAGACGATCCCTGAGTTTGAGAAGACTTTTGGACGATTTTTGTATGTTGGGTGTTAAAGACAACTCCCTGTTTCACCATCGGAATTCTTTCTTTCGATATGATCCACTAGGAACAAGCCTGCATTTAGCCTTCAAATCGCCATAAATGTTTGTAATTCTAGGCTTGGTTTCATTGTATCATCGTTTAAAAAGCTGTGGTCCCGAGTCTCCTAGGAACTCGTGGGAGTCTCCCGGAGGTCGAGATGGCCTCCCGCTCTCACGCAAGCAAGCAAGAACCTCCTGGAAATTAACCCATCTCAAATTCATAATTTTTTTTATCAAATTCATAAATTTTCTCTCAGAAGTCAGACTATGTGCAGCAAAATAAATTAAAGTTTATTAGCCAGATGACGGGGGCCCATCAATATTTTAAAATCATTAAGAAAAAATGGGGTAGAAAAAAATTATATTCAACTTTAAGTGTGAGAGGGCCATTTCTGGCCATCTAGAGATGCTTAAATTATAAATTTTCTTACCTCACCTCCAACCATGGTGGAGCTGAGGTGTTGACCCTCTATCTATAAAACCTCTCCCTTCCCCACCCTCTACCCTTTACCCCACCCATACCCTTCAACCTGCCACCGCGGATCTCCTGGAAAATGACTTACTCCTAAAAAAGCATTAATTAAAAAACATAAATTTAACGTGAGATTATCATAATTTGCTATTTTAACCCTTGTCTTATATGTGAAACTGCTTAAAGGTTAACTGCTGTTTGAAAACTGTAGTAAACAGAGATGAATTATTACAAATGTAAGAAAGGAAGTTGCAAATTATTGGTGCTGGTAATTTTAAAGCAAAAATTATGTTATCAGTTACAGTAAACTTATTACAATTTACATTTGCCATATATAGGGGCAGTCAGATAACAATTCAAATTTTCCCTTGGCTTATATTTCAGTATTTACCTTAATGATGTACAGTACAATATTTACATTTTAGAATTCTAAAATGATTTACTTTTTTTTTGTAATTGTTAAGCTTTGCCAAAATGTTGTTAGGATCATCAACAATTTAGAGAATACGTACTGAGTTTAATTACAAATAGAAGAATTAACTCAACAAAAATAAATGGCCCTCTTTCTTTGTTCTGATGTTCCATTAAAGCATCATAACAGTTCATTAGCTTAAAGCTTTTTATAATTATCTTTGGTGCTTATTATAATATCCCTTGTTATCTATTCAGGAAGTAAGCCTAACTCTTTTTGAAGTTGGGCATGAAGACTGCATAAATTATTGGAATAAACATTTTAATATGTAACCATAAGTATAATCTTATGGTATAATCTATTCACAATAAATCATCAATAGTTTTTAATAAACATGTTCATTATTTTTTTTATAATTAACATTTTATAACGGGTGAACTTTAAGTATAATATTTTAGTTTTTTAAAATTAAATTTATTAATGAATAATCACTAATTTATAATAATATACAGTATTGGAACTTTTAAAATACCAATTTCAAAACACTAAGATTGCCATTAAGATACGATACAATACTATGATAATAATTTTTTACTTCTGTAAAATAATTAATTTTATAATGTACCGGTACTTTTAAAATACCAATGTATTAACACTAAGATTACCATTAAGATGTGATACGACACTATGAATTGTTTTTTCACTTCTGTGTACTGGTAGTCTTTAACCTTGAATCAGCTCGTATCAATGGGCAAATAGATAAAAAATGTAAAGATTTATTACTCTTTAAAATAAACGATTGATGTGGGAAAAAAGACCTTTAAAAAAATTAATTTCAAGTAAGTGTAAGGCCAGCATTTTTCTCGAAGCAAATGACAATCACAAAATGTCCTCGACTTTAGCCTTCTACCATGCAATCAATTGACAATGTGTCCACATGTCAAGTCTGGCTAAAGTGGTACACGGATAATACAGTAGTGTAATATAATAGTGTAGATTTGTATAGCGACAGAATCTAAACAAGATATTCATGGCGCTTGATGTGTGGACTAATAGATTTCATCCGGTATCAGCAACTCTAGTCACTCATCAGTGTCTGTACCAGTACACTAAAGGTATCCCCCGACTCATCCCCTACTTGTCTCGAATGATGTACTGGGTTCATTATAGTGCATAATGGCAAATTTCTAATTAGGAAGATGTCTCTACTTGAAAGAAAGAATACATTGCAAAGTAAAATTTGTCTTTCTAATGCTAAACGAACAAGTGGTATTATAAAACTAGATACATTTAGATAGATATTTAGGACAGAATTTAGGATCTAAAAACAAAACATAGTGTTGCAATGGTATATAATACATTGAAACTTTTACTTGAGGTTGTTAAAAAGAATGAATAAAGGATTTGCTTATCTGTTTTTGGTATTGTTCTGTGGGCGTCCAGATCTCCGAATATGCATTCATAGCAGTACTTATGATTGGATTTATCTTTAATGATTGTCATCAATGCTGCTGATAATTTTATAAGATTCTATGATTCTAAGTATGTTGAATGTGACAAATTCAAAGTGTGCATACTGGATCTGTAAAACCATACCCTATTTTTACACTAAAAAGTATTAATATTGTATCTCCTTGTGGACACACACACTAGATGGTTAATACTTAGCCCAGCACCCCCACCCCCACATTTACACACATGTAGATGGTTAATGCTTACCATATCTGTACCATACACCGCAGACACCATCTTGATTTCCCAATAATGTTGCCCATCGGACATTTCCATTGACCCCCGACATGCGGCTGTTCCACAACTATACTCAAGATGAAAATGAACTTCATGCTCATCAGAAGTCACATGACTTGCCTGTGATTTACACTCTTTGTCCCAGACCCAATCAAATCCTAAAAGAAAAAGATGCAAACACATTAAAAACCCATATTTTTATTTTTTATTTTATATATTGATAATAAACTTGATCATGTCAATATTTGACTTTTAGTTAATTGTGCGATAAATGCTCAATTAATTTTGAATTTTTGTAATGTGTTGTTAATGCCTTTTTAAAGTATGAAATGACTTTCAATAATTAAACATGGATGGAAATTGGTAAACTAATTACGTTAGCATACTATTCACACTTAATTGTATTTCAACACACAAATGTAATCTCAATCAATCAAAGGGTCAAGGGGTGTCCCTGTGACCATGTACAGATTGAAATTTTTATTCGTTTATTCAATTTCTAGGTTAAAATAACTTTAAACATAAAAACATACTAGCATATGTGGGTGACTAAATGTAAAATTTATCAATAGATCAAATTAGTTAAGGGCTGTGACATCACAAGCATCTTGGTTAGTGGGTACAAAAACACTAACATTGCCCAATAACAAGTCCTATATGCTATGCATTGAGCAGAGTTGAAATTGGTGATACATATTAAATCATTTAAAATTAAAGTTAACATAAAACTTCCACTTTGCGGTGTGTTTTGATGTTCTACCCACTACTACCATTGGTGACTAAATGTGGTCTATTCATTATGATGAGTAATAATTTAGCACCCAATTGGTTTCCTAAAGTAAAAGTACTTGGATCAAAACCATTGCCAACTTTATGAGACTTACAGATAATTTAATATTTGCAAGTTTTACTACGGATGAACAAAAATCTAGAGATTTCAAAGTTACTCGGGGATGAAGATTTTAACACTAATATAATAATGATTTGCAAATGGCATATGCAATAAATAAATCATCTGCCATTCATTGTAGTCACTTAATGTAGCAAAGAGTAAGCCTAGGTTGTAGATAGTGCAAACCCAGTATGCTCGTAGAAATCTAAACGACACCCCTTTACACTCGCTGCTATCTGTATGGTTTAATTACCAAGTGATGCACTGTGCACAGTCTGTTTGCTTGTTAATCTGTTTTCCACGACAGTATGCTTAAAGTTACTGTACATCATGAATAAAAGGTTCACTATTAGCCCAAATAAAATTAATTGTTAGCTTCACGTCCCCGCCCACACTGATTTTGAGCCGCATAGATTTTTTTTTACTATTTGCTATTTTTCTATATATAACAAAAAATGATCATTTTTCTGTGAAAAAAACGAAATATCTAGAAGTTTTTTCGGTGGAAATACAGCAGTCGCAACGATATTTTTTAATGAACAAACAGCGGCTGGATTGATAAGACTACTCTGGTCGTCGTCTCGCCACTTACACTGCACACATGGTTTGGGGTTTTCGTTAACTTGGCAGGTCTCTTGTTTTTTTGTGACGCGAGGATGGTAGACAACGGAGGAATAAGTTTCTTATTCTTCCAAAGGTACAACAATAATCGTCAAATTAACCATATGGTGGTTTAAGAATGTCTACCTATACCAACATTGACAACAAGGCATCGACTTTTCATCATGAAAGATACAAATGAGTCAACTGTCTGGCGATCATCCATCCGTACTGCTGTGTAGTCCAGGCCTCAGGCCTACCCTACCTATATTTACAGAGTACGGGTGAGCAAAGTATCGTATTCATAATTTAGTACCGTCGTGGATTCAACTAAGCAAAACAAAACCATATATGGTGTGGTAGATCAGTGTAAATATATCCAGACGTTTGGACCCTGACAATTAACGGAGTAGGCTTAGAAGCCTACATGTAGGCCTTGGGACCTAGTCTTAATACCGCATTAACACCGTAGCGAGTTTTGCTCGATGTGAAAGGGTACAGGGTTCATCGCCATCTTAAGCACTGAGGCATAACAAATCAGACGGTCACACGAGCAGCCATCAACCGCGGCTGCAGCTAACAAAGCCGATGAAATCGCTAGCTGACGGTTCTTTAGACGCGAAAATCACCTGCACCTAGCTGCTCGAAATTCGAGCCGGCCTCGCATTAAACGCTTCTCAAATTCTTTCTTCACTTGAACGAAATGCATTAGAAACCTTCTGTTTCTCAATTTATATGTATTGCAAACATAGCAAGCATTAAAAAACATTTGCAAAGCAGCAGTTTTATGACTTACTTTCAGACAGGATACGGTATTATTACCGGATTTTAACTAGCTGTGTGAAAGGGTATGCGCCGGCAATAACGGCGGCGTGATTACTACTGTAGGGTATTATTGCGCTATTTTCTGTCTGATAGGGGCTATAGATATGTTGTCGATGCCTACCATGTCAATTGCAGTAGTTCACAGTCAGTACCTCCTGGTACTGGTATTAATTTTTTTTTTTAAAACACCTTAAAATTCACTCTTAATATCACACCTTGATTAAAATTACTGTTTTAATCAATAACTGTATTTTATGAAATATTTTTAGTTTAAATCCTTTAAAAACAATAATTGAGATGTTTATGAAAATAAGTGTTACAATACAATGTAGAGTGGTTGTTTTTGCTTCAATTATTGAATGCTGTGTTTTACATACCGCCATTTTCTTTCATCGAAATAATAGCAAATAGCAAATAATAAGGCCCCTCATCGAAAAAAAATTAGGTAGCCCTAGGTGGTCCCCAGCTAGTGGTGCATTGCTTGCTTGCGAGTTCTCACAGATTTCTTTTTTGAAAAAGTTGGCAACTGCTGTACGCAAAACAATCAAGAAAGAACATAGAAAGATTCCAGAACTCAATTATTTATTTATATATTAGAAACCAGAATATGTTACAGTACTTGTTTCTTGTATAGCACCTTTCCAGACCTGCCAACCCTTGGGTCATGAAAATCTGGAGATTTTTTTAAGAATCTTTTAAAAAAATCTGGAGATTTACCAAAAAATCTGGAGGTTTCCAGAAATAACCAAAAGACACCAAAAAAGTCGATAAAATCCCTTCACTAGAAATCATTAGCCGTTGGTTGCGACATTTGAATTGAAAATGACTGCTTGTTTATTGCACCGCGAAGCGATCAAAGGCAGCGAATTCATTGAATAATAATGATCAAATCAATCAAATTATACATAAAGCAGAGTATTTTTGGGGAGGGGGGTGGCCTGTGAAATCGGGTGAAAATTAGATTCAATGCTGATTTGTTTAAATATCGGGTGACACCCGACGGGATCGAGCGAGTTGGCAGGTCTGCCTTTCCTTTCAGTTACAAAAGGCGCTGAAGTTCTTTTCCCTGGTCATTTGGTCCACATGCTTAGTGTTGTTGCTGGTAATCAGCGCAGAAGGAGGTAACCCCACTTATTACAGTATACTTCTGGGTGAAGAGAATGATGCAGATAAAGTGTCTTGCTCAAGGACACAAGCGAAATTCACAGCGAGGGATTGAAACCCGACCTCGAGGTTGGGAAACCAAAATCGTTCCCGCTGCGCCAAACCACTTCTACAAAATGTTTAAACATCCCTCCCCTCCTTCCCCCTCCCCCATTCTATGTAATGTAGGCCTAAGTTCGATGCCTGGGTTGCATTCCATACTGTAGTACTAGTGTTATTACAGTATGGTTTAATCTTTTGTTGATTGATTGTACATACTGTCAAAAAAAGTATTGATCTTAATATCCTTACTTTTTTGTTGATCTTCATCATCAACATCAGATGAAGCAGCCTCATCTCCATCACCGCCAGCTACAGCCTGTGTTTTGTTACATGACGAATCCCCTGTGAAATAATAGTGTAGTCTTCTTCCTCCCCCGGAACCTTGCTCGTCCTCATCACTGTCACTTGACCCAGACCTAGGCCTAGTATTTCTTGATGTATTGCGCCAGTGTCGGATTGAACGTAAGCGCACTGGACCACCACTGCTCGTGCCCATGCCCGAATCACCATCATCGTGGCCTGTAAGAGAAGAGCTTCTCAAAAACCTGCGTGAATTCCTTGGAAATGAGACTTCAGTTTGGGATTCAACTTTAGCACATTTCGAATTTTTTCCACCAGTCTTCTTACTAGCCATTTTGATTTAATACGTTTCAGTGCCCGATCACTACCTAAATAGTTCATGCAGACTTATTGTGTACCGACAGAAAAGAAATAAACGTTCACCGACGAAATGTTTATTACAAAAACAAAAGCGCGCTCTCTATCGGTTGACATACTCTTGCGTGACCTAGGAAAAACCAAAACCCATACATTTTGGAATAAGTTTCCTAGCTGCTTGCTTCCCTGAAAATATATTTAATTAACAGCACAAATAAATCAGAGAAATGGCTGACTTCAATGGTATACTGAATTATGTAACATTTTGGGCGAAGTTAAATTTTTGTTTTTTAATAATAGTGTGTGTTCTTTTTAATATATGCATATTATACTGATTATCTGTTCGAGATGGGCTTCCTTTCGCGGCTACCTTTGCAAACTAAAGAGAGAGGCTTCAATTCCAGATGGGCTTTTTCTC